GCAAAATGAACGAATATTCCTTTACCGGAATATTCGCCTCCGACGATCAAGTTAGAGAAGGGGAAACGGAAAGTTTAGAGAGAGAAAGTAGAGAGAAGTTGGAGCTCTTTAATGCTCTTTTTAAGGTTATGTCAGCATCCACCCCTCCCATCATAAATGAGTGGGGTATTTATAGGGGTGGGAGTGTGTGCCCCTTTAGGGTTTGTACCCTAAAATTCCGTGACATGATTGGCTCCGCAATCAGAGAGTGCCACGTGTCGCATGGGGGCGCCGCTTTGCGGCTTTCAATGACTTTCCTCGGGATTTGGGCCCTGATGTAATAAAGGCTCTTTCTCTTGTTGATTTCAGGTGCTCTTTAGGGCATCTAACACGCGTCATCTTCCCATAGGGACACGTGTCGCCCTTTGACTGGGCCACGTGTCACTACGGGATTGAACCACGTTTTTGGGGTAATTTTTACCCTAAACAGTTTGGGATTGACATGGGCTCTTATTTAGAGATATGATCTATAAATAAGATCCATGCCTAGGGTTGACATAAGTCACAATTAACAGTCAGTCAATTGTGAAACAAGGCAACCAGTATTCCAAACCCTAATCCATCTCTCTCTCCTCAGATACACAACTCTCTCTCCTCCCCTTCACGTCTGTACGGCCGGCCACCTTGGTGGCGTGTGTGGTGCTTGTTCGTGGTGGTTTGTGGTTAGTTTGTATCTCTCTTCTCCCTTTAATCTGTACCCATGGACCAAGTAGAGGAATCACACGCGGGGTTCTTATTCTCCTTATTGTTCTAGCTCGATCATATGTGGAATCACTCTACAAAGGTATTAATTCTAATTCTTTATGTGTTATGCATGATCTTGGGATTAGGTGCTATATGAATATGATTCATGTTTTCTGCAATCATACCTATAAACTCCTAAAATGGTATCAGTTAGCCTATGCATGTACATATATTGAATATTAATTCTTTGATAGTCCACAATTTTAATTCAATTAGGAGGGAGAATAATTTAATTATGGTTCAATCTTTATATTAAATGAGATTTAATTTTTGGAATTGTTTGAATATGATTTAAATTGCTCAATTATTCTAGCAAAATCCGATTTAAGCCCTAGAATTTTCGAAAATTGTGATTGAAATAAAGCCCTAAATTTTAATTTTGTGCTTAATTTTGATAATTTTTGAATATTTATGCTTCATAAATTTAATTAAATTGATTTGTTACATAAAATATGATTTTTTGTATAATCAATAATTTGATTTAAGAGTTAAATTAAATTTGAATTAATTTTGTGAAAAATCCTAGATTTGAAATTGAATTATGAATTTGATTTCAAAATTGAATTAGGCGTAAATGTTGTGTTTTAATTCAAAAGACCAAATTTAATCTAATTTTACAAAAGTGGTTTAATTAGATTAATCTAAAAAAAACAAAAAAAGAAAAAGAATCAATTTTTGGAGGGCCAGCCGAGGCTGGATAGACGAACCACCGTCACGTGGCCACGACGACTGAAAGAGGGGTAGTGAGGGCGGAGGCATCTTTAAGGTCATGGCTCATCAATTTTATGATTACATGATAATCATGTTCACTTTTAGGCCCTGTTCTCTTCACCTTAAAAAAATAATATTAAGTAAAAATAATTTCAGTTCAGTAAAAATAATTTCAGTTCGGTAAAATTAATTTCAGTTTAGTAAAAATAATTTCAGTTCAGTAAAAATAAGTTCAGTTGAGTAAAATTCAATTTTCTTGAAGAAGAATTATAATAGAAAATCAGTAAAAATAATTTAAGTTCAGTAAAAATAATTTAAATTCAGTAAAAATAATTTCAGTTCAGTAAAATTAAGTTCAGTTCAGTAAAAATAAGTTCAGTTCAGTAAAAATAATTTTAGTTCAGCAAAATTAAGGTGAATCAAACAGGGCCTTAGTATACTAAATAATTTAACATGTTCACTTTTTAATGCTAAATGTTCTTTTTTATTTTACGTGTCCATTATTATATTAATAAATGTTCATTTTTTTACGTGTTCATATTTTTTTACTAAATGTTCATATTACATGACCCGTTGCAGCTATCCTAGCTGCACTAGAGTGCAGCCAAGACTTATTAGTATAAAATATATTCTTGGGCTTTAGCCATCAGTTTAACCTTTTGGTTAAAATGATCCGTTAACATGATATCAAAGTCGGCATGAGAAGGGCCCATGCTCCATCCACATTTCAATCCCTACGGGCTATTATTGTGTGAAGAGGTGTGATGGAGTATAAATTATATAACCGAGCCTTAATTATCAGCTTAAGTTTTGGTTGAGATGATCCGTTAACTATAACTCTATACTAAATCAGGGATTTTTTTATTTAAATAACCAACCCCCCTAGAAAGTTAGAATCCCGCCCAAAACCTCACAAATATATATGCACTAGATTATCCCCGTGTGATGCACGGTTTTAATAAAAAAAAATTAGTATAGAACTCGTATATACTAATATAAAAGAGATTTCTTAAATAAAATACAGTTTGAATATTTTAGGAAATTTTTGGATGTTTGAATATTAGTGTTAAGAAATTGAAGAGAGAGAATGATAGATCTTAGTTGCTATTCAATTTACGATACTTTGATTTTCTATATTAAAGTCGTTGAAAGAACTTACTTAGCTTGTTTACGAAGTATCACATAAAAGGGGAAAAAATCCCTTAAAAAAAAAAACAAACTATCACAAAAAAATGACATCATCAATGGTTTTAAGTGGGAATTTTTTTATAAGAAAGCGACACATATACAGTTTTGAGAAGAGATGATGTCAGCAATATTTTGTTTTAGTAATAATTAATAGATATATAATAATTTTAATTATACTCAGTGGCGGATCCAGGAATTGTACCTAGGGGGTTCGAACTTCATCAAACACCCGATGTCCGAATGCACGGATATAAATCGAGTATTCAAGTATAAAATAGAGTGTTCAAATAAATACCAATACACAAGTACACAATAAAATGAGTTCAAATTTTAGTAAAATTGCGAAATAAAATGATCATATACAATAATTCATAAATTTAAAGTTTAAACTGGCTCATTTGGAACAGGGATTGATGTTTAAGTATTCATATTAGCCTCTTAGTGACTCCGGGACTGGTTTGAAGTTATGGCTCCTTACTTTCAGGCAACAATGTTTACATTTAGCAATTAAATCTGGAACTGATTCACGGCATCTGCTTGTGAAAGAAATTTTGAAACATAAAATTTTGTTTCTTATAGATTCTTATTTTATGATTTTTGTTTTGAAGAAAAAAAATAACTTAAATCAACGTATTTACATGTGCTCAAAGAGATAAGAGATGAAACATAAAAATAAAAAATAAAAATAAAAAAAAATTTAAATCACGACATTTACATGTTTTTTTTTTTTTGGCTATTTTCTAAGTTAGGTTGTTCATTTTATTGAGAAGACTACTGAGGATGGCATGATTGGCTACCAAGGATAGGGGAAAAAAGACAAAAAAAAGTAAAAAAAAAAAAAAAAAAAAAAAAAAAAAAAAAAAAAAAAAACACTTAAAATGTGTCTTGGTAGATTCGAACTTAGGCCGAGACCTGCTGCCCAACTCTACACTATTCTATCCAACTGAGCTACGCACAAAACATTTTATATTGTCTCAAATAATATTTATCTACTAATTCTGCTTTTTTTTTTTTTTTTTTTTTTAATAACATTATATATAATTCTGCCCCTGATTATACTACTGTATTATATCTACATTGGAAATATACACTCTCTCTCATAATTAGGGATAGCAGAGATAACACCCAATATTACATATTTACATGTAAAATTCTACTAATTTAAGTTGAATTGGTTAAAGACTTAAAGTATTTGATATTTGATGTAAAAAAAAAATAAAAATGTACACCCTCCGTCCCTTATTTACATTTCTGTTTTCCTTTTTGGGTATTTCAAAATTACATTCTTACTTTTCGTTTTAGTAAGTAAATTTTTGCCAAATATTCCAAATTATCCTTATTTTTCTGTTTTGTAATTAATGCTTTCTCTATTTTCTCATTGTTATTTTCTCATTCTCATTCTTATTATTGCCTTTAAAAAATTTAGAATCCATGTACATCACTTTAGATGAATATAATTGGTCCTTTTATTTTTCACCAAAAAAATGTTATTGCTCATTTTTCTTTTCAAATGATTGATGACATATGTATCATTAAATATTATTCAATCTTTGTTTTATTCAAAGACATCAATAAATGTTTTGTGATTCCCATTGTACTTTGTTTTATTCAAAGTTTCTTAATTCTCATGTAATTTTAGAAATAGAAATGTAAAAGAGAGACGGAGGGAGAATTTGATATCAGGGGATAAAAAAAACATTACATCAAAGTATCAGCTTTGAAAAGAGAAACTTTTTGGGATTATTGATACATTGTTCTTCTATTTAACTTGACTAGATAACTTATGGCCCACACAAGTAGGATATGAATATGGTATACTAGTGAGTACGGAGTAGTAACTAGTTTATTAATGGATTAGTATTTAGTAGGTCCAAGCTTTGTTCCTCTTCCGCCACTTATGATTAAACCGCGTCTTCAACAGGATACCTTATTTTCTTTTTTATTCCCATGTTCTTGGTGCTTCAAAAGTTCATAAGACTCACTAATATATCTTAATCTTTGTTATGATTCATGCATTTGTACATTTTTAACCCTTTAACATGTATAGAACACTAAAAATCAAAGATATTTTTCGACGTCAATGTCCAATTGGTTGCCAGAAGAATGCCATACATCTATAACCCAATGTTGAAAAAAAATAATCTGCTAAAATGACATACTAAACCTGCAATTGCTAGGAAGGTCAGTCTGTAATTGTTAGAGGTACATAGATTAATTAGTGCCCCACATTTAAGCTCCACTGACTAAGATGATCATTTTACAAAAGCTTGAGTAACGATGTATGTATGGATCTCTCTCTCTATATATATATGAGTTCGTGTCATTGTTTTATATGTTGATAATTTGTATAATAAAAGTTAGTCTAAAAACTAATTACTTTTTATGGAAGATAGCAACTCTTATGTTCGATCGAGAGGTGGCATTGCTTCACAATACAGGGGAGTAAGGAAAAGGAAATGGGGTAAGTGGGTGACAGAGATACGCGAGCCAGGGAAGAAGACGAGGATATGGTTGGGGAGTTTCGACACCCAAGAGATGGCAGCCATTGCATACGACGTAGCTGCATTTCATCTCAGAGGGCGTGGTGCTGTCCTCAACTTTCCAGAGCTGGCAGATGAGTTACCTTGTCCTGCCAGCTCTAGAGCAGAGGATATTCGCAGGGCGGCTCAGGATGCAGCCGCCCTGCAAGCAAGGGGTTGTATAAACCGCTATAACATGCAGGCTGCACAGGCGACTGCCCAACCCTCGTATGCCTCCTCCTCGTCCCCAATGAGGGTTGGGTTGTCGCCTATGCAAATTCAAGCTATCAACGAGTCTCCCTTGGAGTCACCACAAATGTGGTCTACCATGACAGACACTCAAATGATCGATGACTCTTTCTTCTATAACAATGATTTTGAAGCGGTTCGAGGTTGGGAAGATGAAGTTCCGGACGACTCACTATGGGATTAACTAATTCTTACGTCGTGCATACACCAAGCAAAAGATATATGGTTGAGGTGGAAATTGCAAATTTTTGTGCTATCCACCGATTTCAATATAACAATTACTAGTACTATTTTTAATTCGATTTTTGTTCATTCAATTGATGTTTGGTTATCGCTAATTTATACATTGGTTTGTACTGATCAAATGATTGCTTATTTTCATGCAACGCTCGATTTGCTGTTGCATGAAGTCATGAACTAACCAGAAGATGTTTTCTGGTTGATATCATATTATATTCCCGGAGTGCTTTGTTTAAAATTATTAGTGGTTTGTGTTTAATTATAACTTCTTAAGTTATCATAATCTATTCTAATTTAATTATTTTTCAAAGTGTGACTCATTGTATTTTTTTTAGTGGTATACTTTTGAAACGTGTTAGTTCCATTATTGTACTGTACTTTCCTATTATGGTAATAATATCGTTGTAGTAAAAAATGTTTATCTTATATATAATTTAGGAAAAATTGCCACCATCATTCCCAACTTTGCTTCATCCGTCGATATTAATCTCAACTTCTGTTTATTCCCTATCACTCTCAAATTTGCACCCTATTAATTTTTATCACCCCCAACTGATCATCCAACCTAATATAACAGGTTACAACACACTTGTCGGCGTATAATTTGATTTAAACAAAAATTTAAATTTTTTTATAAAACAAACAAAAAAACCAAAAAACCACCCATGCCCAGCTCGTTGCCACCGCGACCACCCTAACCTCTTCCCCCCTAGCGCCGGCAGCCGTCAGAATCCTTCCTCTCCCCCGGTGTTGGCGCTTCCCCGACCACCTCCCTTTTCTCCTTCGAGTACCATGAAATCCATTAAAAATCCACCATTCTCCGTTCCTTCTGTTGCTCTAGTGGTGGCGGTTACTGCAACTATTGCTGGCTGCTACTAGATCTGATGTTGCACTTGCAGCCACCACTCTCCCGCTCCTTTTACTACTAGACTAGTTGGTGGTTACCCATCCCCTCTCCCGCTCTTTCCAGCCCTGAACAACGCAACTCATCCCCTTTCCCGGCCACGACCATCAAAATCCACCCATCTCCATGTCCCACAGCCCTAAACCGTCCAAAATGAAACCCCTTTCCCTAAAACGAAATGGCCACTAATGGCCAAAATCGGCCAGTAAAGGGTTGAAATCAACCATTGAGCCCCAACATCGGCCGATTTCGCCAATTTGTGGCCTATTTTGGAGGTCGTTTTTGGGGAGAGGGGGTTGTTTTTTGGTGGGGAAACGACTGTTTAGGGTTGGGATAGGTTTTCCAATAGTCATGGGCTAGGAAAGGAGGGCATGTGCATCAGAGGTGGGGTAGGAGCCGGGCTGCGCTGTGCTGTTGGTGGTGGTGGTGTGTTAGTTGGGTTAGTTTTAGGGGGTTTTTTTTTTTTTACATTTTTCTTTTTGTCTTTATTTTCTCTTTTTTTCAACCAATTAAATATTAAAAAAAATCTAACTTACAAAACCTGATTAACTAATTGCAAGTCATATGAAGATGATAAAAAATTAATAGGGTGCAAAGTTAGAAGTGATAGGGAATAAACTGAACTTGGGATTAATATCGACGGACGGAGCAAAGTTGAGATTAATGGTGGCAATTTTTTCTATAATTTACGAGTGTTTTTTTTAACTTCTCACCAATTTCCTCTAAAACTCCAATCTTTTTTTTTTTAATTTTTTAAAAAAAGGAAGTCATTTGCAGGTTATTGCCAAAAAAAAAAACTATAACTTTCACTATCACCATTTTCTTCATTCTAACTATACATGACACGTTTATCTCTTGCGTTAGCACGGATGCACTATAGTATTATTAATTATAAACCAAATAATTAAAATGAACCAACTATATTATGACACGTGTCATGATTTAATCCTAATGACTTACAGAGTTCACGACCGTTAGTCATTAATGACATTCGCTGAATTTTTTAAAAGCTTGGCGACATTTAGTGAGTTTAAGAAAAATTCATGGCATTTAGTGAATATTTAAAAAAACTCAATGGCATTTAGTGAAATTGATGTTATTATTAACAGTGCAAATGAATGTACAGAGTAATTTATTAATTTAAAACAAATTGTTTTTCTTTATTGATAGAAGGTTAAAATAAGCAAATAGTTAATGCTGAGTGCAGAGAGAGAACAACTAGGGTTGTCGAGTGAAGAAAATGATGACCTTCTTCAAAGGTCAAATAAGAAATTCAAGAGGGGTAATGATAGTTTGGTACATTAGAATTCAAGAAACGTAGGTGAAAATGAAGAAATGGCTATGGGAACTGAGGAAATAGGGAAGGTTGTCCACCAGAATTCCTTGTATTGGAAAGCAACAAAAGGCTTTTTAGGAACTTTGAACCCTTTGTATGATGAGTACTCTGGTGGAGATGAGGAAATCTCGGATGATGAAATCCCTGATGATGAGAAATGTCCGACTGTCCTTCTCTCAAAGAAGGAGAAGAGAAGACTTCGTCTGCCATGGAAAAATGCACTTGTTATTAAGCTTTTTGACAAAAAATTAAGGTATGAAGTGAATAAGAAGATTGCGCTTGAAATGGAGCCTGAAGGGAGACATTGCGCTGACTGATGTGGGGTGTGCATATTACATTGTCCGCTTCAATAACATGGATAATTATGACTATGTCTTGACTCAGGGTCCTTGGATTATAGGGGATACCTATTTAACTATCCGCAAATGGGTTCCAAACTTCATTCTTGATGAAGAACCGATTAAGAAATTGACGGCGTGGGTAAGAATTCCAAATTTATCGGTGGAATATTTTGATAACAGTTTCTTGCATAAAATTGGATCTAAGATAGGTTGAGTGATTCAAATTGACAAACACACCGAGTCCAAGAACATAAGGCAATTTGTTAGGTTCAGTATAGAGGTTGACCTTACCAAGCCATTACTTGCTAAGTTCAGATAGAACGGTCGCATTTGGAGGATCGAAATGAAGGGTTGAGACTCATATGTTTCAAGTATGGTAAATTGTGACGTAAAGATGATCAATGTGATACTTTTGAGTTAAATTCTAATGAAGCAAAAGTGTCAAATGCTTTTGAGAATGACTTGATCGTGCATAATGCCCCTAGGCCAGAAGAACAGGACCCCTATGGTGCATGGATGATTGTCCAAAGATCTTTAAGGAAGGCAGCTGGAAAGGAGAATGCTAATTAGTAAGGGAAGAACATAGTTCATGGTGTCAATCATCGGGGAGTAACCAAGGCTCCCAAAGTGACAAGTCAATGGGTGCCTTGAGGTTCGAGTGGAAACCATAATGGCAAAACGAATGAGAAAGCCTCAGGTTCGACTCTAGGTTTGATATCCTTGAAGTAGAGGATATTAATGAACAAGAACAGAAAATTATTCAAAGAAATCCTACAAAGGAGACTGATATGGAAAAGATCTCAGGGAATATTTCCCCTAAGATTAGCACCGTGAATTTGGGAAAAGATCAAGATATGGCAGTGGAAGAAATCCATTAAGAAAAGATCAAGATAAGGCTACAATTAATCTTGGTGACTCTTCTCAACTGGAAAAGAATTCGAATGGCAATAATGATTTGTTAATGGACAATAGGATGTTTCTTAAGGAAATATATTTAAGGAAATATATTTTTGCCAGTCGACAAAGATAAGGAGGAAGGTCATAGAAATACCTTTAATTTCCAAAAATAAGGATTATAATTTAAGCCTTTCATAAGTAGATATATATAAAAAGAGATGATAGTAATAATAAATCTCTTTCCTTAAAAAGTTCCTTTCCTTACTCCAAGCTGGTATTTTGGGAAAGAGAATATGTATGAAATAGCTTTGGTTACTCCTTCAGCATTGAGACCCAAAGCTGTTGAGAGTGATAGCAATTCAGATTCTTTGAGTGTGCAACAACATGAATCCGATCAATGTTCCAATGAGCCTGCTGGAAGCTCGAATCCCCCCATCATACGACACCTTCATAGACTACAACATGGAGGGTCCGACGATAGTAACCAGCCATCCCCTGGTGAACATGGTGCTTTTTCAAGTGAATTCATACCTGTCACCGGAACACAATCCACTTGACTTAATGGCTACGTTTCAGATTTCAATCAGGACGCTGGGTCCCCTGAAAGCGCTGATGGAAGCGTATTTATCTCTTCTGCCTAATGTTTCCTTGAACGTTTATGATCAATATCCTTTATTTTCTAATTTTAATATGTATGTCGATCAAAATAATGGTTTGGAATATGCAAGGAGTTGGTAATAAAGTGTCGATCATTAAGGAGTTGGTTCATATAAAAAATCCCACTATTCTTGCCCTTGTGGAGACCCATATCAGCGGAGCTCAAGCTTAAAGCATTTGTGATAGGATTGGCTTTTCGGGTCAAATGAGGGTGGAGGGTCAAGGCTTTGTTGGTGGAATTCGGCAATTCTGGAGGGCAGAATTGGTAACTGTTACAGAATATATGGAAGCCATTCTCAACACCTTACTGTAGAATTTAAATTAAGAAAATTGGTGATGCGCCATGGTTGTTCTTGGCTATATATACAAGTCCAGATTCTGCTCTTTGGAAGCAATTATGGAAGCTTTAGAGCAAATTAAAAGAAACTGTAATGGGCCATGGTTAATGGCTGGAGATTTTAATGAAACTAGTAGTATGAAGGAAAGGAATGGTGTGGTTTGCTAAGAGATGTGCGGCGTTGTAGTAACTTTGCGGAGTGGATTGCCAACAATGAACTTATTGACCTTGGTTGTTCGGGTTTGGAGAATACATGGTTTAGAGGTACTAAACCCGAAACTTTTAAATATGCTAGATTAGACCATGGATTGGTGAATGTTGATTGGAGGGTTCGTTTTGATGAGGTAGCTTTAAGAAATTTACCAAAATCTAAGAGTGATCACTGCCCTACCCTTATTAGCACGAATGATTTTGCTCGTATTCCTACTGCTATTAAACCTTTTCGATTTCAAGCGACATGGATGAGTCATGAAAGATTTGATGAATTTATTAGAGCTAAATGGGAAAATAGTGCGCCACTTATCCCGTTTCTCAAGCAGTTTGCAGATTTTCTTGCAGATTGGAACAAAGAAGTTTTCCATAACATATTTTGAAAGAAGTCACAATTTTTGGCAAGGCTTGAAGGTATTCAAAAGAAGCTTGCGTTGGGGAGAGATAGGCATATTATTAATCTTGAGGCTACCCTTCGGCGTGAAATGGATTATGTGCTCGATCAGGAAGGGTGTTATGGTTTCAAAAATCAAGAG